GGGGGGGGGGGGGGGGGAGGTGAAAGAGAAAAAAATAAAAAGTGAAGAGAGAGAGAGAGAGAGAGAGAGACAAAAAGTTTGTAAAGCAAAGGAGGAGAGAAAGGGGTAAATAGCGAAAAAAAAAAAGAAACGAATAAGCAAAGTATAAAATTGACGTAATCAAAAAAAAAAAATTTGCAACACGAAGGGCCATTACTGTGCTAAAGATTTCCGTCTCCCTCCCTACCCAACTCCATTCGCTCCCCTCGCCAACAAAAGTTGTGTAGAATATTTTTTTTTTTTTATTTTGGCAAACCGACTACCCCACGTCACATCGACCTATCGGTAGCTATTCTTGATTTTTCTTTAATAATCTTTTCTTTTTCTCCTTTTATTTTTTTTGTTCTCTCCGCTTTATTCGCGCAATCGCCAATTAACGTCCAAATCGTATTTTTATCGCTGTGTATGTAAATTCATTCGGCCATTCGTCATCGCAGGGATCCTATGGGTAGCTGATAGTGGTTTAGTGGGATTGATAGAGAGAGATAGAGAGAGAGAGAGAGAGAGAGAGAGAGAGAGAGAGAGAGAGAGAGAGAGAGAGAGAGAGAGAGAGAGAGAATGCAAAAAAACAAAGAAAAATAATATATTTGAGAAGGAGGTGGCAGGAGGGGAGGGGAAAAAGGATGAAGAGAAATGAAGTCGCTTAGTTGGAGCATCCCCTCCACCTCACCGTAGCCCATCTGTCCTCCCTCCCTCCCTCCCTCCCACCCCTCACGTCCTGTTCAGTTATCTTTTATAAAGTAATCGCATTACTCCAAAACGATCGTAGGAAACAATGATGTATCGTTCTACCAAGTCAAGTGCATTACGTAGTTAATAACCGACATAGACAATTACGAGCGTGGCTTTGCGAAAACGGAGCTGTTGGTAAAAATTTTGAAAAAATCGCACACGAAGAAAAAAAAAAAACAAGTAACTCGTTATTGGCTTTTCCGTATTTTCGCATAACTTCGAACAACTTATTATCCCGTAGATCGAAGAACGATATAGGATATTATTCTTTGCTACGTGGAGCGTTGTACTTTAGATAATATATATATACATATATATATATACGATTATGTATATTCGCAATCCGCCATTGTCTGCCGCCGCGGTGGTAAAATTTAATTGGGGGCGACGTGGATGAAAAAATGGAGAAAAAAAGGACCGATTAAACGTGCCGAAATGTGTGAATGCGTTTTTGCGAGTTGGTTGGTGAGAGCGTTGTGCATACTTTATACATATATATATATATATCTTTTTTGTTTTGTCTTCATACCGTGAAATTAAAAAAAAAAGAATCGCAGAGAAAGGACATACGTTCTCGGGGTCGCATATACCGAGGATAATTTTATTTTTTTTCTCTTTATCTTTATTTTTTAATTTTGTTTTTGACCGTTTATGGCGTCACGTGACGTCGCACCGAATGCCCGAGTGACAGAAGACGCGATTGTTATTCATATTTTTATTGCTTGTGACTGTGATGCTATATATATATATATATATATATATATATATATTTTAATATCACCTGTACGTAGGCATGTATGCGTATATGACAGGTGCAGTACAGGTACATGTACTGTTCTGTGTATATATTACATACGTGCCTATATGTATATGTATATACATGTATATTCCATATTTACTCTCATAGAATGACATTTTGGGACTGTGGTGATAGGTCGAATTCCATTTTTGATTTTTTCTTTTTTTTTTTTTCTTTCGTAATACATTCGCACGGGCACGCAAATAATTCTTAATTTATCGCTGTATCCTTTCTCTGCCTTCTTTTTCTCTTTTATCGTCGCACCCGAGTTACGGATCGATAACGACGCCGTCGAAGTGAAACGACTTATTGCTCTTTTTTTTTTATTACGAATTTTCATCTTGATCGAGAGACCGGAAAATGTGCACGTGTGACAAAA